TGTGTGTGTGTGTGTGTGTGTGTGTGTGTGTGTGTGTGTGTGTGTGTGTGTGTTGGTATAGGGACTTGAATTCATGGCTTCTCACTCCTGCTTGGCTCTTTTGCTCGAATGGTGCTTTACCATTTGAGCCACATCTTCACTTCTTTTGTTTTCTTTTGCTTGTTATTTGGAGATAAGGGTCTCATGGACTTTTGTGTGCCCCAGCTGGTTTTGACCATGATCATCAGATCTTGGTCTGTGGGTTAGGAAAAAGTACAGGCATGAGCCTCTGATGCTCCTAAGGCCCAAGCTGTCTGCTGGGGGCTCAGCACACATGTATGGAGAGCAATGATACCATGCCACTGTTCTTGAGAAGACTACTGGAATCCTAGTACACTGTGTGTAACTTCAATGATTTCTTAGAAACAGACATAAGGTTGAAAAATGGCAGCTATTTCTGCCTATACAATACTGCTTCAATGTTTGACAATCCCCTCCCCCCATTATAGCCACACTCCCAAGGTTTCTGAGTCATTAATAAGCATGGAATGGCATCTGGATTTGTACAGTTTTAATAAGTTTCCAGTTAAAAGCTGATGTTGTTTATAGGGCAAACACATTTTGAAAATAAAGTGCTCTGTAGTAATCAGATGTCCTGTTACTTTAACAATTGTAGGTGGCCTGATAAATTGTTTTATAGATATCACGGGTATTCTTGCTGTTCTTAAATTCCTTGTCTACTTCCTAGAGTATTGTTGAATCCAGTATGATCCTCCTTATCTTTCCACCACTTCATGATCTTGTTATGTTGATTATTGCATTTAGACACCCTGGATACTTTCTTTCTCCTGTAATTTCTAAAGCTTTAAGTTAGTCTATGGAATAACCCTCTGAATATGGAAGGGTTTTTTTGTAGCTATTAAGAAAAAAATCCTCCTTGTGGAGGCAAAATTAATGGTTTTTTTCTTGTTTCTTTCTTTGTTTTTGTTTTTCCCAGTGACTGAGCTAAATAGGCAAGGAAAGCTTTATTCCAAGAATTGTAATAGGAACCAAGGTTATTATAGTAGGAAAGAGAGAACTCAATTCCACTGACTGAAAATGTAGGGGTGCTTTTAAACACTGGGATAAGAAAGAAAGTTCTGGATGTTGTCGGGAAGGGAACTGCTCAGTGTGATTAGCAATATGCCAGTATATTTGCTATGTAATAATTGAGGTAAGTTTCCCGCCTCCTCTTCCAAACTTGAAAATATAGTATTATCTTTCTTAATAAGTGAGTTTTTCTGTGAATAATTTTGAGTCAGTATTTCACAAGGTATGCATATATCAAAATGTCACATTGTATGATGTGAATCTATCACCTATACATACACACACACACACACACACACACACACACACATATATATATATATAAATATATATATAATCTATCAAATGTCAATTATACCCTTAATGGGGCTGAAAGAAGAAAGAATGTATTACAGATTCATGCCACAGCGTGGATGGGCCTTGAACATTGTATTAAATCAAAGGAGCCATTTTCAATGGACCACATAATTTATGACTCATTTTATGTGAAATGTCTACAATAGATCCTATCTATTGAGTCAGAATTAAAATCAGAGTTTTCCTAGGATTAGAGTAGGGATTAAGATATGTGGGGATGACAATGAGGTCACACAGATTGCCTTCTGGGTTTCTAAAATGAGGTAGCACTGGTGGTTGTACAACTATGAGAATGTACTAAAACCCATTGGATTATATTATTTCAAAGGTTGAATTATATATGAAATATTCTTGACAAAGTTTCTGCAATAAACAAAAAAGTATATGAAATGAAAAAGCAGTTTTAAGTCTCAACAGTATAAGGATTGTTTGACACCACTGTTTGACCAGTTGATCAAGGAGGAAAAAATGTAGGAGATTATAGTAACTATTTGATAAGCAGAGACCCCTAATCTTACTCCACCATCCCCTCACCACTCTCCTCCTATGCTTCATCTTTCATTTTTTTCTTCTTCCTTCTTCATTTATTTGAAGACAAAATGGCCTCAGGACAACTTCATATTTAAAGTCTCCGTATTTTATCCTCTACATTTAAATTCCTGCCTAAGACACATGCTTAAATGTAGGCCTAGAATCTCCTAGAATTTCTCTCCTATTTGGTTCTCCCTTAAATCACAGAGGGAGAGTTGAGCAGATAACAGAAGTATGAGCTTATAGTCTTCAGGCTTAGAGATAGGTCCCTGGAGTCTGGTTGCCTTGAAATAAAAGTACAAGTACCAATTTCTGCCCATCAGACCTGGGATATTCCCTGTCCTAGTGATTGCATTTTAATGATGGTTTCCAGGTCTTTAAGAAAGACCTGATAGGAGAGAGTCTTATCTTAAAACACATTAAAGCTCTAAGAAAAGAGAGGTCAGGGAGGGATTTGGTGTCTGAAAGAAACCTATCTAACCCTTAGCCAAATGGGAGAACTTGTAACCAACTTCTTCCTAATTGCTCTGGCTTCAGTCTAGGGACTTGTGTTTTATGGAAGAACTTGCTGGAAGTTAAAGGCGCACCTGAAGAATACCTGAGGAGCAAAGCCTAATGAGTGGTAGGAACTGGAACCAGCACCTAGAAACTTTTCCCTAGCAGATTTCTGCTTCTTCTAGAGAGTCTGTCCAGGCTCCTCAGTTCTGCTCTGACCCTTCCTGACTTTCCATTTCACTTTGTCTAGTGATTTCTTTCCTTTTTTTCGTTTTCTGTTTTCTTTCTTGTGAGTTCACCTAAGTCTCTCCCTTTGCTCTGCCTTCTCTTCTTTTCTCCTCCCATCCTCTGTAGGGCCCAACTTCAACAGCATTCCATTGTGAGTAGCTTTGAATGTCTGCCTAGCATGTTCTAGAACTTTGCCCAGGCTTAGTTGTCCCTTAAATCGCAGAAAGTGGAATGGGATGAAGTGGAGTGGGGTGGGGTGGGGGAGCAGGTATGACATTGTGGCTGACAGGCTTAGAGCATGGTCCCCAGAGTGAAGTTGTCACTGAGTGGGCATTGGAAAATCGGTTTAACCTGTGTGGAGATCTGCTCTTATCTTCAGGATGAGGTTGCTGGGATAATCATGGCTGCTAGTTCATAGGCAGTGATTAGCATAGTGCTTTTCTGTGGTCACACCTTTTATATTCTTGCCTTGACTGTCATTATATTCCTGAGCAAAGGAAAATAGAAATCTTTAACCCTCCATTCGTGAAATACTATAGTCTTCAAATATCAATGACAGTTTGTTTTAAATCTTTGAGCATTCCTCATTTGGAGCTGTTTATCATTTTTTTCTAATATCCATTTTAAAAAGTCAAGAATTTCAGTATAGCATGCTGCCGAGAGGTAAGTTAGGTGATCAACATTTGCAGTGTTCAGAGTTCAGCAGAAAGACCCATTTCTCAGGCCTGACTTCCTGTTTGCTGCTTAGCTGATATGCAAAGCAAGTGTGACTTCATATCTACCCTTGCAAGTGTTGAGATTTGAAGCCCAATTTAGTCTTTCTTCTTTTAACCTGTGAAAGGAAAACATTTATATTATCTCCTGTGCCTCCCTGTTGATGTTGCTAATTTCCCCCCAGGTTCCAGAGGAAAATGCTACTGTGAATCAGTAATTAATGACACCTATCTAAAGCAAAAATTAACTCATTCTTTGGATCTGATTGTGACATTTCAATCTGTTTGCACCCCCTGCCTCCAGCCAGTTCCCTCCTTTGTTACCTGAGAGACACTCCGTCTAACTGAAAGACTCACAAACACTGAAGGCACAGCCCTTGCTATTACTAACAATAATTTCAAATATATGAAATATAGTATTCCATGTGCCTTAAAATAAATAATGCCCACTTTTTCTTATATAGTTTATATGAGGTCTAATATTTGATTGCTCACATCATTTTTTATCTTTAAATTTTAATATCCAAACTCTACATTGCTTCATCTTTATACCAAAGGAAACCAATATTCAATAGTTCAAAGCTGTCCCTGCTCAGAAGATTAGAAAGAATCAAAGTCCAGATTTTTTTTTCATTTTCCCTTGACTTGTAAGCTTCTGCATGCTCTCCTGAGACCTTAAAAGATATGCTGTTTGATTTTTCTATTTGTTCTTTCTTGGGATAAAGATATAGGTTGGTGTTAGAAGACTTTGCCTAGTATTTGCAAGGCCTTAGGCTCCATCCCCAGAATTACCTGTTTCCCCTTTAAATGTGTTCACTCGAACATGCCATATGCTCAATAGGAAATTATCCAGTTGTCCTACTCATATAGGGGATAAAAAAGCTATGTCTACCCATGCCTCTCTGACATTTCATCATCTGGGTGCTAGGGAAACAGTACTTTGAAACATGTATGGTCAGCATATCCTCAGATCCCTGCTTCAGCTGCAGTGTCTTAACTTCTGCACCCATTCCCACTCAATAAGATCCATTTGTGGCCTTAATTACTTGAGGTATGGGAATTTACAGGTAGTGACTTCAGGGCTGTAAATTTCTGAACACCAATTTATCACTTAGTGGTATGTGAAGACAGTGAGACTGTGCTCATTTTCAGTCCTTCTTGTCCTCAAATTTTTAAAAACTAGGGAGCAAAAATGCCTGTATAATGACAGCCCAAATATGGGAGAGTCTTTAGTTAACCTTGTCCTACAGTTCACCTGTCCAATTCTTGAATCGATTGGTTATAGAAAAGCGAGCGTTTAGTCCCAGATCTTTTTGTCTCTCTGCTTGTCTGTGTTCTGAATGCCTGGTTGATTCCCACCTCCCTTTCTCTCTACCAGGTTCTGAGTCTTCCAGCAGTGCAGGTTCTTCGGGATCACTGTCCCGTACCCACGCCCCTCTCCAGAGCACACCCCTGGCCTCCACCTTGGCAACTGGATCCCCTGGCTGTTTGCCCTATGCAGAGAATGGAATGGGAGGCCAGGTCCCTCACAGCAGCACCAGCTACATCCTCCTTCCACTTGAAGCTGCCACGGGCATCCCTCCTGGAAGCCTCCTTCTTAATCCACATACAGGTTAGTCACCACCCATGTGAGCAGAGAAACAAAGATGATCAGAGGTTTTATTCTTGCATTTGGTATTTTTGAACTTGCAGGTGCGTTGTCTGAAAATTCCCGAATGGACATTGGTGGGGGGTGGGAGGGGGCGGTGAAGGCCTGTTTTGTAGAATTTTATTATTGTTGTTTTATAGTAGAATTACATAGTAGAATTACAACTAGGTGAATGGGTGTTTCTCAGACATCATCCTCTGGCTAGCATGTACCACATGAGAAGGAATCTGAACCAAAACTATTCCAGGACCTTGAGGCATCCTTGGAAACTCAGCAAGCTTTTAGCTAGAGAAGCTGCTTTTGCATCAACAGAATTCCATGCAACAACTTCAGAGGGGATAAATAAGAAACAGTGGCACTGAGAGCAAATCCACATGGATGGTAGGGATAAGGGTTTGGAAAATTGACCATGGTTTCATCCCTGGTGAGTGGCTATTGCCTCTTTATATTTGCATTGTTCTTGTGGATCAGTGGGGTGTTATAGGAATTCCAATGGTCTTGGGACAGAGAGGCCCCAACATTAGCAAAGACATGGAGCAACTCTTGCCACATGAAAAAGTTCTCTGCAAGAGATAATTTTACCTGAGCTCTCAAGTACCTCAGGTACGGAAGAAGAGGGCACTAGGAATAAATATATAAGTCACAAACCCTCTTCAAAATCACAAGTCGGCTGTTCACAATGGAGGGCTCCTGTGCTAACATTTTGGATGTGTTAGCAAGGCTGTGGTAGAGGTCTTTGTTTGAGAAACTTGTCCTTGATAAGTTACTTCTTAAGTGGCCGTTATTAGTGACTGAAAAAGAAAATGAATTGTTTCAAAATAGATCTGAGGTTAAGCTTAGAACATTTCAACTCTTTTCTTCAATAAGCTAAGCTTGAAAATGCAAAACCAGATGAACATCTCATTCAATCTTCACACAGCTAGTGCTACTGCAATTAGGAAATTCAGAGAAACATGAAAATGATCAGAAAATAGTTACTTGAATAATTGCTACATTTTCATAAAACATATGGCACATTATCAAAGGATGGAGATGAAGATGATGTGAATATGCCATAAACTTGAGGAAAACAGCACATATTCATTTTATTGAAAACCATTTGGAAGCTCCAGATTAGAAACTTCTAAGGAGGGTTTGTGGATGGCTTGTATTTTCTTTGGATTATTGCACGTACCATAAAGGAAATTGGAAAAACGCTAGAAGCATATTCATCACTCTGGGCATCAATCTGTCTCTCTGTTGGTTAAAACTCTTTCATTTTTAATTGAGATAGAGGGCTCATGGAATGAATGCAAGCTATACATTCTTTTAAGTTGCTTTCTTTAAGCTAAATTACAGCATTTCAACCAAGCTCGGCAAACTATTTTTGGATATGATGCAGGAATATTACTGGCATGGTTGTGCATGTGTATGTGTATATTATCATCTATAATCTTGTTTACAGAGAAAAGAAGTAGAACGCTGTTTGTTCCACATCCCAATTCTTCTTTATTTAATGGAGTCACTTAGAGCTGTTATCAAAATATCTCTCTTGAAAAAAGATCTCAACTAAGGGAAAGGATATAATAATACTGTTGCAGTTTTTCCAAACACACATTTGTCTGATCTGACAAAGTCTACACATTAAAATATCCCAAGACCAGAAAGAAAACATATTCCTACATTTTATTGTATAGTTTAATTGTGGGATCCAAGAAATTATGTTTCCTTTTTCTGGAGTGTCCTTGTGTTTCTAAACAGAAAATATACACACATCTGTGTTTATAAGCACCTAATATATATTATATACATAGATAGATATAGATTTGCCTATGTATATCTGTGCACATTAATGTATATATCTAATTTCTCATATGACTTAATTTGTTATTCATCTCCTTTGATGTGTACTCATCTTTCACTGCACACACTGTCAACTAGAAACCATACCTCTTCCTCTTTCCGAGATAAACCTTCTGTCATGGACATGGAAAAATAATATGGTGTTACATACCAAGAGCTTTGGTCTACTTTGATTTTCATATGCATTGTCCTCCGGTATATTGCCTTGTTATTAGCACATTCATAACCCCTTCCATCTTTTGATCTTGTTTTACTTTATCATTTGCCTGCCCAATAGTGGATTAGACTTTTATGCACACTGTAAGTGCTTAATGATTGCATGTCACTGAAGTAGTATCTATACTCACTACAGATATTGGTCTGGAAAGTGGGGCAGTTTTCTGCCTAATGTCATCTATGTGGTTCACATGTCAAATCTGATGACAGACTAAGACAAGCCATGTTTTGAAAACTCTACAGAGCTCCTAGTCACACATCTGTTGCATGAATCGGCAGTGAAACTTCCTTCATCAGCACCATTGACTTAGCTCTTCCTGAGTGTGATCAGTTGTTTGGCACACTGGAACAGACTCACCCACCTCTGCTTCTAAGATTTCTCCAGGACATTTAGCAGGTTTAGCTTTTGTCTTGGCTTTACCCTCTACATTCGGCCAGCCCAAGTTTAACTCGGGACCTCATAATTATTTTTTATTTGCTCTTTAGCTATCTGGATGATGGGACTGTGTGTCACAGTGTTTTATACAACATATTCATTCATGAAAGGCAAGTCTGGACTCTGGACTTGATTTTCCTCCAGTTCTCTTGTACCAGTCTCCTTTTGGGAAATATTAGCAGAAAGTTCATCTTTGCTGGGCTATTTTCTGTTAACTCAGCATATCATAGAAATGCCAATAGGCAATCCCCACATACTAGTTAATAACCATCTGTGCTAGCTTGCCCTTTTGCTCTGCTTTTATCTTGCACAAATGCAGTTATGTTATGTGAGGGCTGGCCAGGGGCAAGGACCACATTCTGAGGAACCTTTTACCACTGTTTTCTTTCAAGTGCTCCTGACAGGCTTCCATAATGCAATACCTTTGATTGCTGTCTGGATTGTTAGAATCTAATTATCCAATGTGATTCCCCTTCCATTTTTCTTAACACTCTTATGGAATTTTGGGGTAGTCTCCATAAATATATCCTTTCCCAGCCCAAGTTAATCATTGCCTACTGCACACCCCATCATTTGCATATAACTTTGAAACACTAGAGAAGAAAATCTCTTTGTCTTATCCTTTCTGTTTCTCTCTGAATAATTACCTTTCTGTAAGGTAGATAACAGAAATACCTTTGTGTCAAGGTCATGTAACTACCTTGTTTCTTATATGAATTATTTGTGAGACTTCCTGTTACCTGTACCTTTGTAAGCTTCTATGGGGAGAAGCCAAATTGAGTTAATTATTAATTAATTAATTTCATGTTTTGCTGGAATAAATAGCAGAACTGGCCACTATCATTCACATAGTTTTGAGATGCTATCTAATACACTAAACACATTAACATGGACCATGTTAGTGGAACAATTTTTCATCTGATGTCATATATTTAAGAAGAATGACTGCTCAGTATTTAATCCATTAATCCCCTGTTTTGAACTCAGTGCACTCAAGTGCCCTGGCACATTTCGTCTATGGTAGGCAGCACATGAAAGCCAGAAAGACCCAGGCCCAGGCAAGTTTTTTCCTTCACTTCAATCTTTAACAGCTGTTTTGCAAGCTAATTTCTTGTATTCAGTTGTAATTGTATCTGTATTTGTATAAATCATAGAATACACAGAGCTAGTCACTGCCTGATTTAAAGTCAAGAGGGAATAGATTGCAGATTTTGAACCTAGAAGAAACTTAATTTTTAAGATAGAAAACTAATTAAAACAATAAAAGATAGCTAAAATTAAATGTTGAATAATAGGAAAAACAAGTGCCGAGAATATTAAGAACATTAAAAACAAGGTTGAGGAGACTTATTTGCTACTCTGTGAACCTATTCCTGGCACATTTACTTCCCATGGCAGCATGGTATCATTTGTTACGAAATATTATCTCGAATGGTTATTATATAATGTATGGAATTCAAAGTTTCTTGCTCTCTGTCTGTCTCTGTCTCTGTCTCTGTCTCTCTCTCTCACACACACACACAAACACACACACACAAATATAGTCATAGTCAATCCAAGTGGTAATAACAGAGAATGATAAACTTCCTTTACAGTCCTTAAAAGATCTGGCTCTTCTCTCCCTAGCGTTTACCTTGAGTCACCACACCCTCAGCATTTGCCTTCTCGCCATGCCCCACTTCATATTTGAAATATAATTTGCTGAAGAGCAGGACCCACACACACATGAAGGGTAATCTTGGGACATTTTGCATTATTCACATCACCCACAGTGAGATAAGAGACATGTCTAGCCTTCCAATCACTTCCCTCCTGTGCCCTCAGATGGATCACTATTCTGATTATCACTCTTCTGATTTCAACTGCAGGACATTATAGATCTCTTTGTGAGCAATTTTCTTTTCCATTATTTTTTTCTTCCTATTTTTATCTTTATGAAGTGTACAGAAGAGTTGCCAGTTAGCAAATCAGTTTATGAATACAATGTCACCCCTTTCAATAGTCTCACCCATCCCTCCCTTAGCTACTCCTTCCTTCACTCTTCTGAATTTTGAAGGATATACGTTGGATTCTTGACTACATTCACCCCCTCTTCTCCTCAGTTGTTTACCCATCCCATTTCCCCTTGATCCCATCCTACCATCCCTCTTTCAAGAACCTGTTACCTGGTGTTTTATTTTGTTGAACTTTGGTTTTGCCTTTCTAAGGAATTATACTATCTGAGATCTCCCTTGGATCTACCATATTTCAGTTACATTTGTATATACTTGCATATCACCCAATGTATTGACTTATCAGTTTATAAGCTAAATCTACTTCCATATGTAAGGGAAAACAAGCGTCTTTTGTCTCTCTATGCCTGATTTACTTCATTTCACATAATATTTTCCAGGTCTTTCCATTTTTGTATAAATGATAAGATAGCGTTCTTTCTAATGGGTGATTAAAATTCCATTGTGTATATAAAATTCCATTATGTATGTATACCATATTTTCTAGATATATTCATCCATTGAAAACCATCTGGGCTAATTCTATACCTAAGCCATGATACAATAAACATGGCTGTGCTGGTGCTTTACTGTATCCTGGTTTGTAATCTTTTGGGTAAATGCCTAGTAGTAGAATTGCTGGATCACAGGGTAGTTCTATGTTTAATTTTTTTTTTGTTATTGTTGCTCGTGGGGCCTGAACTCTGGGCCTAGGTGCTGTTCCTCAGAACTTCAGCTCAAGGCTAGTGCCCTACCTCTTGAGCCACAGCACCACTTCTGGCTTTTTTTATGCTTATGTGGTACTGAGGAATTGAACCCAGGGCCTCATGCATGTTAGTCAAACCACTGAGCCAACTTCTCAGCCCTATGTTTAATTTCTTAGGAACCTTCACACTGCTTTCCAGAGTGGTTGAACAAGTTCACATTCTCACCAACAGTGTATTAGGGTTCTGTTTGGGACATAGCCTCACCAGCATCTGTTATCCTTTGTTCTCTTGATATAATGGCTATTCTAATTATGGTGATGTAGAAGCACAATGTTGTTTTGATTTGTGTTAACTTTATGGCCAGTTTTACCTCATCTTCTGAGAAGACTCTCTTTAGCTCATTAGCTCCCATTTTCTAACAGTCTGTTCTTGTTTTGGAAGTATCATATCTACTTTATTTCTTAGAATAATGTTTTCTCTGAGTCAGGTTTTAGATCTTGCTCTCACCTACTCCTTTTTTTGTTCTAATTTTCCTCAGATGATTGGTGAGCCTTGCTTTCTCTTCATATGTATTATTAGCTGTGAAGCCAGTCTTTTTTTCTGCCATCATATGTTTCAAGCTCTGGAAATGATGCTCCTGTAAGATCTGCATCTCCAAATGAGGCATGGGTTGAGGGGACTTGAATAGATGTTGTAGGAGAACTCCGAGTACAATCTACACCATCTCCGCAGTGCCCAGAGTGAGGAGGGGATCCTCCTCTAGAACATTCTGGGCCCCATTCTGGGAGCCCAACTCCTTCTAGGCCTTCTGCTCAGGTTCCCAGAGAATATTCAGCTCGTGGAGGAAGCACGTGCAGGAGCTCCAAAGAAGGGAAAAAAGGAAAAGACTCATAAATAGCTCCAGAGTTTACAGATCCGTTTGCGTGTGTTCTGATTCTACTAGTACTGTGATTCTACATTGAATCCTGTTCTTCACTTTGCTTGACCTCTCACGCATTGAGTAACAATTTTCAGTTGTGGTGTGATTGTTGTTGCCATGGTTCCTAGTTATGCCTACTTGGAGCATTCACTTAATGATGTGGTGCACTGAAAGGTGAATGAACTTTGGGGTCTTACTGATTCTTCTTGGTTCTCTCACTTACTCTATGTATATAAGTTGCCTGGTCTCTCTAAGCTCCAATTTAACTTCAATGATATGGAAAGGAGTGTACACATCTACGGAAGAGCTATGATTGTATGTGTGTGTGTGAGAGAGGCACTTGACATATGGGAGACTGGTTCTCTTCTCCTTATTAACCCTTTCCCTCTCTCCTCCGCTGCCCTTCATTTTCTGCCATGTGGCCTCCTCTTCCTGAATCCTCTTGGGAGCATTCACTTCCTCTTCAGCAAAACAAGTAGCTGATTCCTTCTGTCCTCTCATCATCAACCGAAATGATTGTTTTACAGATGATGAAAAACTGCTCAACTATAAAGCCACCCTATCATTAGTGTGGCTTAAAAACTATAGTAAGACATGTCATTTTTGCATAAGGCAAGATAAGCTCCTGACAAGACAGTTCTATGTTGAATTGATTACAGATCACTTTAAACTATAAACCCCTGTGCATCCCCAAAAGGGATGGCCAGCTGGACACATTAAGTTCTTCTGTGCATGCACTTGTGAAACTGATAGTGGTTGTGAATTGGTGGCCAAGCAAAGTAAAAGCAACATCAATATATTGATAAATAACTTGTGGCTGAAGGTAGCTAGAGTTGGATAAATGAGAAGCAGGCACTCTCCCTTGGAGTATATTATTTTGCTGATGGCCATGAGGAGCAGGGCAGCAAAACATGGCTTCGTGAAGATTGCTTCTCCACTGGGTTCCACTGTTCACAGATACACTGAGTTTTGACATAGCTCTCTGAAGGTGCTGGGTTTATTTGCTGCTTTTTAAACTGCTATGGGCTTATACTGACTTCTACTTTAATCTAGTTAGGATCAGAAAGCAGGAAAATCTTCACTGTAGTGCAGGCTCTGGAGCCTTGGATTCCTACTGCCCTGCCTCTTTACTTTAGGTGACTTTGGGAATATTAGTCTGAGGAGTTTCTTTCTGCCAGGGAGATTCTGAAACACTCATCCAGACCAGATTCTGATTCCATTGCAGGTCAACCCTTTGTGAATCCAGATGGAAGTCCTGCAATATACAACCCACCGGGCAGCCAGCAGCCCCTACGCAGCACAGTAGTGGGGCAGCCCACACAGCAGCCCCCACAACAGCCGTCACCTCAACCTCAGCAGATGCAGCCGCCGCAGCCCCAGATGGCAGGCCCTCTGGTCACTCAGGTGAGCAGCTGTTGGACAAGAGGCAGAGAAGCCTCCGAGAGAGGAAGTTTACACAGTCTTCTGAAAAAATAGTGCATCAAAGACGGTGTATCATTGGGTACTCTCAGCTGCCAATCGAATTTCTTAAGTAAATCTTACCAAGCCTAGAATCTTTGGCTCCAGTGTGACAGAATGGTATCTGATCTTTAAGTGTAGATAGAACTGAATTCCCCATCTGGTGCATGTGCCTACAGGAAAAAAAAAAAGCCAGGACTGGTGAAAATTAGTCAGAGTTTTCTCAGGTCTCAATGCTGTGTTATGCCCAAGGAATGTTTGTCATGGTGACTGAGCTCACAGTTCCACTCACTCCTCACCCTTTCCCATCACAAATCAATGCTTATGTCTGCAAAGAATCAGTAGTAAGTTTGTTATCAATGGGAAGAGCAAAAGTCAGTTCTGAAATCCACTGGCTACTCTTTCCTGTGCTATTGAGTAAGATATAGCGCTGTACTCCCTTCCTAGGCCAGATACACAGACCAGATACATATAACCACTAGCATCCAACATACACCATTAACTTCTTAAAGGTCAGATACGCTCATTCTGTGCAAAGAACACTCCTCAGGGCTGTTGGACTCTGAAGTACATGGCCTTTTTGTTTCTTGGGCAGCTGGTTTTCCTCTCCAGGTTGCACTGAACTAAGGCACCCTTTAGAGACAGTAGTATATATTCGAATGCATTCTACCTGCTGGTTCTGCATTACCTGATGGTCTTTTTTTACTTCCTTCAGTCTGTCCAGGGTCTGCAAGCCAGCTCCCAGTCCGTGCAATATCCTGCGGTGTCTTTTCCTCCACAGCATCTTCTGCCTATGTCTCCAACACAGCACTTTCCTATGGTACAGTATTCTATATAGATGACTTTTCTGGACAGGGAGCATTTTCATTGGTCTTACTATATTTTGTGCAGATCTGGGTGATGCTATAGGAATGCTTCTGGGCTGACTGTGAAGGTGTGATGTGGAGGGGTGGGGGAGAGTATGTATGTGAAGGTCTAATTCCTAAACGTCTCATTTCTCCACAGTTATCTGTCTGAAAAGTGTTCAGTGTTTCTCTGTTCTGTAGCCTCTTTTAAGAGATTGATGCCCTCAGAGTTAGAAGTCAGAAGTCAGAACTTGGTGTGAGGGCTGAGGGGGGAATCTCCAAATTTGAGTCGATATCATAACTGCCAGCACCCTGTGCTCCTGACATAAGTGCTCTGCTAGGACTCCAATCCTTAGTTTCCCTCCATTGCCTTGACTGTAACAGGTCCTTCGGGGCAATACTGAAAGAATTGGCATTGCCCCTAAATGTAAGTGCAGGCCAGTGAACAAATGCACCCTACTATAGGCATGTGATCACCTCAACCCACTGTGACATTTGTTCTGGCAGTTTTCAGCAACAGTGGCTTATAATGAAAATAGCCTTAAGCTTCTCATGCAGCATGCAGATCTGTGATTGCTGCTGAAAAGACTAGATAACTTCCTTCTGGGAAGCACACCAAGCCCATCTTATCTGCAGCATCATTCCCAAGAGCCTGAGCCCCTAGTGAAAAACAGATGAAATTGTTTCTGTAGAAAGAGGAAGATTAGAATGATCATAGTGCCCATTAGAAAGGTACTGTGACTCATACCTGTAAGATCAGTTATTCCAAAGACAGAGATTAGAAGGATCCCTGGGCAAGGAAGGACAGCCTGGGCAAAAAGTTAACACGAAACTATCTTTTCTAAAAAAAGGAAAGTGTAGGGAAATGCATCTGTCATCCCTATGTGTGTTGAAGACTACAATCTTAGTCCAGCTCAGGCAAAAGTGTTAGACTCTGAAAGATAGCGTAAAAAGAGCTGGGGCCATGACTCAAGTGGTAGAAAACCTGTTTAGCAACTGGAGCTCACAGATGAAAGAAAGACAGACAGACAGAAAGACAGACATACAGAAAGAGAGAAAGAAAGAAGAAAAGAAAAAAGGGAGGGAAGGAAGAAGGAAGGAAAGAAGGAAGGAAGGAAGGAAAGAAAGAAGGAGGAAATTGAGGTCAAATTATGTAGCAGTTCTGACACACACTTGGGAGGGTTGAAGCATGAATGTTCATGTGACTCTTGCATTGCTTATTTGTTTCCAATTTGAACCTTTCCTCTCCCAAATCTGTGTACCTCAGGTCTGCCTCAGGTCTGCCTGCTCCCTCCTTTCCATACTGATGCTATTATCTCCCCCTCTGTTTCATCCATGGCAGAGAGATGATGTAGCAGCCCAGTTCAACCAGCTGAGTCTAAGCAGGCAGTCCTCTGGAGAGACTCCGGAGCCACCATCCGGTCCTGTCTATCCACCCTCCCTCATGCCACAGCCAGCCCAGCAGCCAAGCTATGTCATTGCTTCAACAGGCCAGCAGCTTTCCACAGGGGGGTTCTCGGGCTCAGGCCCTCCCATCACCCAGCAGGTCCTTCAGGCCCCACCCTCTCCACAAGGATTTGTGCAACAGCCTCCACCAGCACAGGTATGTGTGTGCTTTTATTCTCTCACCTGCACACTGGCTGACTTGCGGTGAATCCGTGCTGTTTTTCCTTGTAGCATATTGCTAGATCCACTGGTATTCCCCATCCCACAAACTGTTTCTCTTTCTGTTCCATGGAGTCTCACAGTCCTGGGTGTCAGCAAGTCAATTGGTTATAACAGATTCAACTGCCCACAGCACAAGGAAGGGGTGTGCCAAGCTGGTACAGAAGCCAGGAAAAGCATTGGCTTCCTTTGCTTGGCTCTTCCTGCCCTGGGGGACATTGAATACTCTCTTCCTGCTGCTCAGGAAATCTGGTGGGTTTTTTTTTTTTTTTTTTTTTGCTTCTTATCAATTCACAAGCATTTTCTGGAGCTAATCTGATGCTCCAGGCAAGCTCCTCTATGAATATAAAGAAGGAAGGTAAGCCAATATCCACTGTCCTTCCCTCTCCCTGAGGAGAGGCAGAACTCCCGCCTGCTCTAGCAGGTAGCCATTAATCATATTTAATTGACTTGAGCATGTAAGACACCACAGATCACTGATTTTTACTGTCTTTCCAAAGACCGATTATGTGTTACTGTTCGCCACTGAGCATCTCTGGTGCCCTCCTGGGTATCCCTCGCAGAATATTGGAAGTGATTACTGTCAAGATGTAAAATGCGCACAAGTGTCTCCTGGTCCATTTTCAAGGCACATATATCCCAAACAAATTCTGTCCTAATTATGAAGCACTGCAGAGGATGAGCTGTTTAAAGTGCAGTGTCGCCATCTTACCCTTTCTTTCATGGCCCCGACATCCTGAGTCAATTATTTTCTCTTCAAGCCACACAAAACCCTCTACCACACCATGATCTCCACTCAGTCGTTCATTTTATCTGGAATGATTAATTAACAGTTCCTCTTCAGTCATCACCTCGGGAATATTTCTTTCCTAGTGGGATTTAAGGACATGAATAAAATAATTTTAAGTTACAGGATGAAAGTGTTAAGTCATGCATTCGTTACTTCACTCTGAAATTAAATACTTTGTGTTTCACTATTGGAGAAAATATAGTTTTGATTTTTTTTTTGGCCTAAAGAGCATCTACACCTCCGGATTCATTTCTGTGGTCAAGGAGAAAAGTGAGCAAAATACTTAGTTGAAAACATTTTTTTTAAGTCATCTTCCAGGAATTTCAGTATCAGTTCATGGTAGAAACAAAGGCAATTCAGAACCCTGATATGCCTGCCACAGAAATGCTTTCATTCTTTCTTCAGTGGATTTTTAAATATAGAAAAAAAGGTGACAAAATGATGTGTGTGCATGGCTCGTGATTGTCATGGACATTTCTGACTTCCTTTTTTAAAGAACCACAGACAGAGTATGGGCAGAGCCCACAGTGACTTTCAATTTAGTAAACATTTTCAAATCTAGCTACTCAACTATAGAGCAATAAAAATAATTCAATTGAGATTCAGCCCCTGGATGTTTATGGAAATATTCTAACTTTATGCAGAAAATAACCTTGAAGTTCGGCTTCTTCTGTCCTGGTTGAGTTCTTTGAATGCCCATCAGAAAGGAATGCATAGGAGATACACAGAAGAGCAATTTAAAGAAAAGAAATGGCAGAAGGTTCTTTAATTTCTTTTTAAATATATAGTTTCTTTAATAAGTAAATAAATATAGTTAGTTTTTTCCCTTTATTTCTTTTCCTACCTTAAGCCAAGTATTTGAAGGTTCTTCCTATTTTAACATGATTGGTTCAAAAATGCACATTTCCTCGCTCTTAAATTGCCTTTACTCCTTTCTCCATTTCCATTTCAAGCCTTTCCAACATACCTTCTAAAAGACTGAGCCACTTTCCCATGGCTCATTCCTAAAATCCTAGCTACTGAGGAGGCTGAGATCTCAAGATCACTATTCAAAACCAGTGGGGCAGGAAAGTTTGCGAAACTCTTGCTTCCAATGAACCACCAAAAAGCCAGAAATGGAGCTATGTCTCAAGTGATAGATTACCAGACTTGAGCAAAAAAACCTAAGGGTGAGTGCCTAGGCCCTGAATTCAAGCCTCAGTATTGGGACACACACACACACACACACACACACACACACACACACACACACACAAAACTGAAAAGATTTATCTCAGTTCAACTTACATTCTTCATTTCTGAAGATGAAGATGGGCCAACTACTCATTTGTTTCTATGGTTAATAGCCATAATTCTGAAGAGCTGAGCGTTAGTGTTGGTACAAGTGTCCAACCTCTGGAAGGAAAATAAAAGGATAGCTTCGGAAAAAAAACTTGCTAGCAGTTTTCAATTATTAATGCTCATCAGGCAATTCTTAAGTGTTTGACTTATATCATTCAACCCTTAAGGCATTCATCTATGTTTCATATAGAATGTAAGAGGGTAGACCAAGAATAGCAATCAAATTCCTAAGCTTGTATTGAAACAAGACACGATATTTCCTAAACAAAGAAAATGCCGTTCTTTCTGAAAGATCTGTAAATAGAATGCAATTTAGACAATAGTTGTTCTTATGCCTAATCTTGATATGAATCACAGTAGTAATCTTTAATTGTACCCTAGTTTTCTGTAGCATAACCAAATCTATTTCTACTCCACAATTCTTTAGATGTTTTCCAGTTATAAATTGCTAAATAATAATTTATAACTGGAAAAATATAGTAAGTGAATTAGACTTATTATACAATTTATAACAGGAAAGAAGTGGCTAGTCTAAATTACAATAAACAATGCATAAGACAAATTAGTCACCAGTTGCAAACACATGACAGTTTTAGACTTACTTAGCCCTTTACCCTGAATGTCTGCATTATGAAGAATTCAAAATTAGAATTCCTAATAAGTGCACAGAATTGCAAAATCATATAGCCACTCCAAATTGTATTCCTACTTTATTCAAAGGCAGGGAAATAGGTTCCATGTTTCCATAGCAAAAAGGCAAATAATTTCTTTACTTGCCACGAGCAAATAAAAAAATAAAATTACCAAATAATTGGCCCATCATTTTACTCTATGCATGTAATAACACTTGTAAGCAGTTCTCAGAATTGCTTTAGTTTTCACTTTAGAGCAGATAATAGGAGAAAAGTCAAAGACACAAAAATAGAAGATAATTAATAAAGATCAGATCAAAAATAGCCTTTGGATAATGACTTGACATGGTCAAAGAAGTCTTCCCAGGTTGAGAAATATTTGATCTCAATGGCAGTAATTAGAATATCTTAATTCACTTGCAGTTGTTAGTTTAAGAAGGTAGCATAAGCAACATCTTCATCTATTACTCCTAATTTTATATTCAACATAAACATGCTGGATACTGGTTATGTGCACATCACTCTGCAAAGTGCTTTGGTAGACTGTCAACAGGCATCGCATTGCTCTTGAATAGATCAGAAATGCATCAGGCTCATCACAAATGGTTCATCTCTGCTCTAGGTCATATCAGGTGGGTGGCTTAGGCAAGCTGAACTGACACACCTGAAGATGTAGGGCAGTTTGGTCAAGTAGAGTGTCTCTAGTCTCTATATGGATTCTTTGACCTTCAGGAGAGCCTAGAATTTTACCTGGCTTCCCCTCCAGCAGGAATAGACATGGAAAGTCATAAGGTTTAGGTTTGGAAAGCTCAGACATCACTTCTGCCTAATTGAATTGGTCAAAGTAGGTCACAGAACCAGGACATTGGCCATGGATTTCTCTCACCTTATCACAAGAGAAGACTAGGTTCATAGAATCGGACATGTTCCTGGTGGTCGTCTGTGTCCATCAAATGATACTCAAAATGACAAAGGGTTCTGTGGTGTTTGTTTGCATGCTTGTCTGTTTTGTGCTGGTACTGGAGCTTGAACTCAGGGCCAGGGAGCTCTCTTTGAGTATTTTCACTCAAGGCTGGCACTCTACCTCTGGAGCCACACCTCTACTGCCAGCATTTGGATGGTTAATATGAGATAGGAATCTAACAGACTTTTTTGCCTGAGCTAGATGAACTGCGATCATCAGATCTCAGCCTCCTGTGTAGCTAGGATTCCAGGCTTGAGCCCACAGAACCTGGCTGATCATGGGTGAAAAAGAAGTTTCATTCGGGATAGTTCCCATCCCCTGCTTTTGCTTTCTCATTTTCCACAGATGCCTGTATATTACTATCCATCTGGGCAGTACCCTACCTCAACTACACCACAGTACCGGCCCCTGGCCTCCGTTCAGTACAGTGCTCAGAGGGGTCAGCAGGTGCCACAGGCAGCCCAGCAAGCAGGTAAGTGGTGTCTGTTTCCTCTTTGGTCCTGCAGCTTTGTTATTTCTACTGGCGAATTTTGTAGCTCTAATTATTGACAAGTGCCCAAGCTGAGCAATTTAAGTCTGAGTTTCCCATGTCCTGAGAAGCAGACACAGCATTTGATTAACGCTGAGTGGAAAAGTAACAGATATAAGAAGGAGGCAAAGCTGACAACAGCATCCCACACATGCGTGCTGAACGGTATCCATTAGTTGTTTTCACATCGTCCCAGCTTATTTTAAAGCAGACAGCCAACAACATCCCTATCTTCACTTGGGGTTTTTCTTGTTGTTATTGTTGTTCTCTTTTCAATGTAAAAAATGCATCCCTTGTTCTTAAGTCTGGGGAATGAAGTGAGGTTGTTTAGTACCATCCTGAAAAGCACTGTCTTTAGAAGGCTCAAGACAGTGCGGCTTGTCTGTGGGACTCAAACTCCTGGCTCACTCTGAGGATGGCTGCAGCTCCTGCCCTGGCCGGCAGCGCTGCGCAGTGGGAAGGGGGGCCGATGCACTGTCCGAGAGTGAGTAGCAGGTCTCACAGTGAACCGGTCTCTTTCCCTGCTGTGCGACATCCTGATGGAATGCTGCCACGCATCCCCCAGCAGGGCGGAGAGACAGGTGCTAGGGAGAGTTCTCAACCACCACTCCCGCTGACCAAGCTGCCTGCGAACGGCTAATTGTCATGTTGAAGACCTCCTGTCTGGCTGGGACACGCTGCCTCCTGTAAGTAGGTCATGGGAAAGAGCATGTGCTCCTTCTGTGGCTCGTGAATCCCTTCACTGGTTATATGTATACACCTGTGTAATATAGACAGACACAGATATGTGAAATATATATGATGTGTACCATTGTATAAGCTGTGAAGTCTATCCTTCATCTATTTATCTAGCATTGATCCTTGACACCCTGGAGTTGCTAGCAGTTTACCAGGTTGGAGGATTAAATTTCCCTGTATTGTAGGTGGCTATGTGTTTTTTTCCTTCATCTCATGGCTTAGTTCAGTTCCACGGGGCAGAGAATTAGGGAAAACCTCAGTTGCCAGTCCGAGTTTTGTCTTGTTGAAACACAGCATTAATTCAAGGCCTTCATACTTTTAGCAAAGTAAAAATTGCAAGATTTATAGATTATGACTTATTTTTAGGGAAGCTTTTGACAATGCTTTTCTCTAATCAATGGGAACTGTGTGGTCAGTGTAGTTGTATGCTATAAGTAATGTGTTTGTCCTGTTCTGAACTGCCTGTCTAAGCTGTGAATGGTTGTTAACATGGTTACTTAAATAGTCATAGACCTTGGTTTAGAAGCGATGGAGACACTGATCTTTTGTTTATACATGCATTTCAAAGAGGAGAGATGCTGATAAAGAATTGCAGTAATCTCCTTATTATGTAGTTGTACTGTGTGACAGATTCCTAAGGAGACAGTTCAGTCCCCTAACAGGACATCAAAAAAAGGAAGCATGCTGGATTCTGTTTAACCTGTGAGCTCTGCACACCTGTGTGAGGGACTCTGGAACACAGCTATTCTATTAAACAGGGCAGTAGAATTCAATGTAGAACAAGTCTAGGGTTCTCTGTTCACCCCTATGTTGCTATTTCTCCTCTGCACTAAATTAGCTGATGACTGACAGCTCACAAGAAAACACATGTGTTTTTACTCTTTTTATAAATGACTGTGGGATGCAGAGACGTACTCTTCCATCCCAGAGAGACCTAGCTGGATGTAATGACATTGCTTAGCAATCTGGTGGCTTTTTCCAGACTCACATATCACTGAGGAAATGCCACTCCCAAGGAGAGGTAATAACGTCATTGTAAGAATGCATTCTGTGGTAATACCAGGCTCAAAACAGAGGCAAGGGCAGTGCACATAGTATTCAGGTCAGCAGTGTCAGGCTGTGCAGGTGGAGGTGAGGAACGCGATGATACAAGAACAATAGCTTCCCAGATATGACACCACTCGTATCCACAGGCACACTGAGGCCTTTGAGCTTTTGGTTTAGGGGATCATGACTCTGGATGTCATGTGTAAAATCCCAACTCAGCATCCACTGCAGTGCTGAAATTATGAGGTACTTGGAAAGGCAGGTAGTGTCTTGATCTTACAGAAAACATTACTAATGAAAGCCAGAAAGCCTATCTTACATAGTGGCTCAACCAGTAGAACCTAGAGCTTCTATGCATTGTCAGAGATCCACTGTGTGAGGTAGTATTTGTTGTTGTTATGGGTTTTTTAAAATTGTTATAAGGTGATGTACAGAGGGGTTACAGTTACTTAAGTCAGGTAATGAGTAACATTTTTAAATAAGTTTTTTTAATTGTGAAAATATCATACAGAGGGGTTACAATTAAATGAGCAAGGTAATGAGTACATTTCTTATCAAGCATTGTTACCTCCTCCTTTGTTTTTCCCTACCATCCCTGCCCTCCCATCTCCACGACTGCACTCCCCAATCCCCTCCAAAGTTAGTATATGTCTGAGACAAGCAGAAAAGGTCAAATAAGATGATGTTAAGTGAAATGAATCCCAAGATAAGGACACGTGTTTTTTTTCTTTATTGCTACTGTTTCTAACATTTATTTTTGAACACTGTCACCTCTTCCCTCATTTTCTTCCAGGTTTTTTTTTCCTTCCTCACCCCTCTCCCCCACAAGTTGTTAGCTTATTTTCAGCATAGTATCTAGCGAGAGTACCACTGCTCCATTTGTTTGGGTTTTGTGCCAGTCCCAGGGCTTGAAGTCAGGGCTTCTTTTGCTAAGGTTAGAGCCCTCCCACTTGAGCATAGTTTCATTTACAGCATTTTGGTAGTTTATTGGAGGTAAGAGTTTCATAGCTTTTATAATTATCATACATATCTCCCTGTCTCTGTCTGTTTCTCTGTCTCCATTTCTCTGACTCTGTCTGTCTCTGTCTGTCTGTCTCTCTCTCTTTCTTTCTCTCTATCTCATATTCTGTGTGTGTGTATGTACTCTTCAAATTTTGGAGCTTTAACAACCATCAATAAGGTATAGAGAACAAAGTCTCTAAGAGGAACAATCCCTTAAGTATCAGGTTCCAGAATATTACAGCAGTGAGATGCCAGCACCCAGCTCCAACAGGGATTTGTGTTTGTGGGCACAAGGAACTGAGTCAAGGGACTGTCTGTGGAAGGAGGAGCCTTTCTTGAAAACTGTAAGAGCTGTGTTTTATGGAGTTGTTGGTGGGTCTTTGTTCCTAAGCCACACTCTGGACTAGTGCTGGCATGGCACTCTCCCACAGAGATGTTCTGATTGACTTTTCCTCGCCTTACCTCACTTTTCCCATCATCTTGCATGCTGAGATCTGACCCTCTCCCAGCCTGGTCCCTGTACTTGATGGCATTAGAGCATCTTGACCTAGAGGATAGCTCAGAATTAGACTGGGGGTAAAAATATATCCATCAAAGGCAAATGCAATTTAATCCCAGTTTACTTCTTGACATAATAAAAACTGTCTTTCTCTTTTCCTTCCTTTTGGACAGAAATTTCCATAAGTTACTACATCTTTCTGAAACCTTGAGATTACACACAGTGAGTTTTTAAGGGACTAGATAATTTGCAATTGCTTAAATATTACCTTTACATTACAAGGAGGCCCCAGAAAGAGATGTAGATGCAAATGTTCCTCTTAGAGACTTTGTTCACTCTACCTTATTGATGGTTGGTAAAGGTCCAAAGTCTGAAGAGTACACACACACACAAAGAGAATATGAGAGAGAGAAAGAGAGAGACAGAGATAGAGAAACAGAGAGAGAAATAGAGACAGAGACAGGGAGATATGGATGATAATTATAAAAAGCTGTTGTTAAGTTTTAAAGAAAATAAAGAATAAATTTTTGCTGTGACATTTGGTTATATATATGGGACTATTTGAAAAACTTCAATACAGACTCTCTCCAATGGAAAATATTGTCTATTTCTGTTCTACTACTTTGTCTAGTGTCAGGGGAACTATTACCATTCCTGTTAACATCTTTATCAGACATGCATGAGCATAGTTAGTCGTGTTTCCTTTATTTCCTAACATGCGAGGACATAATACCAGCATGATGAAACTAACCCAGCAAGCTCATGCAAACGAGACTAGCAACACCAGTGGCTCAAGTGTACCAAATGGCTGACAAGTAGAATAAATTTTGGATTCTGGACTTCTACCTTCTTGTCCAGCATAAACTTCTGTATTCTGAAGTAGTTATTGCAAAAATCAAATGACAGAAGACAGCTGAGAAAATTTTGCTTAATTATATTTTGGAAAAGCAAATGAAGAAAAAGAGTTTCTTCTAGATGATATTCCAAAATTCCATTTTTTTAGTTTGACTTGAAAAGAAATATTCATACTATCATTCTTGGCTTTTAAGGGACTTGGCCATGTCTAAAAAGCAAGAAAAATGTGTGTATAACATCCTGTATATTTTCATGAAGGAGCAATTGAAAAAGTATCTGACTTTTGTATTACAATGTTATTGGCCTAAAAGAATAATGATCAGTTTTCCTTCTCCTACATTTTGGAAAAGATTAGGTGAGATTGTGACTAAATCTTCTTTAAATGTATGATAGAAATTTTCAGTGAGATATTCCTGAGATATTCCAGAGATCTTTAATTATGTATTTTACTTTTTACTAAATGATAATATCTATAGCTTACAAAATAGTCCTTGACTTTTTTATCATTCTAAATCTCTCCATACTATTTATCTCTTTGTGAGTTTGGGTAACTTGTAATTACCAAGGAATTGGACCATTTCTTCTAAGCTTAGAATTCTTCTAAGCTGTAAATTTGATGTTTGCATTCCTTTACTACATTTTGAATAGCTTCAAGATATATTTTTATATCCTATTTCACTACTGATACTGGAGATTTAAACTTCTCTTTTTATTTTTTGTCTCTCCCCTAGATTTATTAAATTTGTTAACCTTTTCAAGGATCTAGGTTTTTTTGTGAAGCTCAAAACACACACACACACAC